AGTTTTCTGAAGTTCATTTCATCTTTCATCTTTTTGCATTCCAACGCATTTTCAGCAGGAAATGCATTTTCTAGTTACTAGTGCAATGCTAGCTAGCGCCATGTCCCTCCCGCGCTTTTTAACGGTCCCCTTACAGGCTCATTAGTGATCAATCCACAGTTCCCTTGATGTCCAGCCACATAAGTGAGTGTTTATCATTTACCTTTTGTACGGCAGTGTTCATTTGGTAGCTGTTCTTGCCTTAAAGAAGTTCAATGATTAAAAGCTTCACTATTAGATACATTTTTGCAAGGATTTCTTTTTCTATAGCTCTGGTATTTCACATCTGATGCTGCATGTTAGTGTTTTATTCTTTCTATTTTGCTGGCCTTGATGCTAAACTTATCTTTTCTTTCCTTTCAGATTTTTAAAAAGACAAAAAAACTTCCTATGCAGTGGACGTGCAAGCACTGCACATCCACTGCATAGTTAACACCTCTGCCATCTCTCCATCTCTACCCACCCCTCTCTCTGCTCTTCAAGGTGTTTGCCAAGTTTAATAGAATCGCCAGTAAGAATCTTGAGGGAAATTCTTGAGGCTCTGGACTAGTACACCCGCGGTTCATCTACATTTTCAAAACAAAAAAGGGAACCGTTGGCCGGAAACTCATTGAGCTGAAGCAGCACATGAGCTGGATGGTGTCGGGATCTCCGATCCCCCCGAGTTGGTTGATGAGAAGGATCGCAGCACGTTGATAAATTAAAGTCAAAAAGTTAACATTCATTTAGAAGAGTGCGCTCTGTGTTCGCTGGGCGTGCACGGTAAAAGGACAAGAAAAACGCCTGGTGACGCGCGCACACAATTAGGAGAAAATCCAGTCAATGTTCAAAGGCACTGCCTCCCCTGTCATCATGAGCGGGGCGCAAAGCTGTTGCTTCACTGAATAGGCCTATATGCTTAATCAATTATTTTAAGTCAGGAAAGGCGTAGAGTAGCCTGTAAGCGTTAGAAAACAAGTCAGTTCTCAATGTGAAAACAAAACATGCTGTTGGCTATTTATGATGACATAGAGTGTTCCTTTAACTTATGTTGTCAGTGTAATTGACAGGCTGCTTAACTGGTTAACTCTTAAATTCAACATATTTTTTGAGGCAGTGAGAGGACAGGCAATGATGCAGAGAGCACAGGGAGAGGAGAAACACCAGGTCGAATAGAGAGAGGAGAAGCACAGAGGAGCCATGAACCCCAGAACACGTGTTCTGGTGTTTATGGCTCCTCTGTGCAAGGCAGGGCCTGACGTGGAGGACAAGGAGGCCCTCTGGGCACTACTGTAAAAAGGAGACTCCGTATGTAGATAGTTCTTAATCTGCAATTGGGTTGTTGTGTTGTGTTGACATACTTTTCTTTACTGTTTTCTTAAATTGAATAAACTACTAACACATGTATTCATTGTCATTGATTGTATATGACTTTTACTGATAACATAATGCAATATAGCCAGGACAGCCTTACAGAGTCGCGACGCTTTGTGTTGCGTTGCTTCGCATCGCGTCGAGGTCTCTATGATCACTAAATTTTTACCCACAGTTTACCCACCTCTAATTTTACCACTACAGCACTGGCTGTGTACATGGATGGATGAAAATACATCTGCATCACTGTAAAAAAATCAAGGTGGTTCAACAAACATAAGTTCAAAAGCTGCCTTATATTTTTGAGTAGAATTTGGTACACTTCATAATGTTGTGTTTAACTCAGCTCTAGCCTGCTCTCTAAGCTCACATGTACATGTTTATTCAACTTAGCAATGTATGTTTAAAATAAACTTATTATCAGCTATTGTGTTAACTCATTATTTTGCTTATTTTAGTTGAAATTACTTTCCTAGTTAATTTTACTTAAAAGTAGGCATTTCAAATGACAATTTATATTTATGAGAAACACCATGTCTGCTTGCAAAAATCATATTTATTTCTCACATTAAAATAAATAAATACATGCAGATATCTAACAACTTCTTTACTGTATTTAAACGAAATATTCAGTGGAGTTAAACAGAATATTCACCAAAAGTTCAGACAGAAAAACCTTAAAAGTGAATGTAATATGGTCTTCAATTTACAAATAATGAGCATCTTCATACATCTTTCTTGAGGCAGTTCAAAATGTCTTTAGTGTCTGCAGCTTTGTAGACCTCTGACGCTCTTGGGACCAGATCTTCAGGACTGCGTCCAGCTGGCCTCGTGACTGCTTTAGATCACGGAAGACGGATTTCCAGCATACAAACGTTCCATTGCGTTGACTCTTGACACTTACTGTGAAAATCTACGTACTTCCGGTTGAACGGCTCCGCTTCGTATTTTAGTTTTATGGGCAAAATCCCAAAAGGGATTAACAGAGTAAAAAGTTGTGAGTTTGTCTCGTTTTTTTGGTTCTAAACGAAAAACGCCTGTTCCAGAGCTGCCAACTTTTCAAAAAACCTTGGAGTGAGATTTTGTCGGGGGTGACCAAAATCTTGCCGCGCACGCAGCCACTCACGTTGGTGGCTCAAATATCAGGAAATTGTAATTCATTTGCCGTAGTACCCATGTTATACGCTGCATTCTGGTGGTTTGTGGGGCCCAAAGTCATTGATAGGGGCGGCCTACTGGAGGTGGACAACATTGGTTACATACTGTGATGCAAAGACATAGCTGAAGGTCCACCCCCAGGACATTTTGGTTTAAGTAGATGTTATTTCATGCATTCTAGTGGATTTTGGGGTTGTATGCCTGAACTTATTCTGATTCATGTTCATGTGCTCATGACTTGTGGGGCCTTCCAGACTTGAGCTGAACATTCAACCAGAAAACTATTGCTGTGCCTCAATGACTGTCTATGTACCACAATATAGCCTAATTAATAGACCTGTGTTTAAGATTTGACCAATTTAGGTTGATTGACCTTTTGATTACAATGGTATTCAACTAATTCTTAACTGAAACCTAACCTATATTGTTAATAATTGTATTCTTAAGAGCACTTGATGATTTATGTTCAGCAAAAAATTACACAAGTTTAGTTAGGGAAAAATATTGTTGATTATCAAACAAAAAAGTGCAACAAATAAAGTTCTTAAACAGTAGCCTTTCAAAGCAAAACAATGGATACATATAGTATAAATACACATAAATCAAATTTAAAAAATGAGGTATTAAGAAGGAGATCAGAAGCTGGTTAGTAATTTTTTAAGATTTGTGGGCAAGGTTGTACTGGCCTGTGGCCTCCTTGGAGGCCTTGATGACCGCTGAGGGGGGCTCCCATCTGAAGCAGGGCTCCAGGTCGGCCATCTTTATGGCCATGATGGAGGACAGGGTGCCATCCAATGCCAGGCTATTTCTGGTTTTTGTTTTATTCAGTCCCACAACTGAAAACACCTTCTCAGCATCAGCATTTGAATGGGGCAACACCAGGACCAACTTGGCGACGGCAGCAAGCCTCTGAAATTCTTTGGCTCCTGTCACCTATTGAAAATGAAGCAAGAACAAAATGGAAAAGCATACCATATTTTGTTCGGATTAATATTGTAAGTATACTGTAACAAACTTCAGATACAACATGCATCGTTTGCATCGTATATGACACAATATATGCATGCATCAATAAAAGTCCTGTGTGTTGCTCCTCTGTCTGTTGCCCTGTTGTTTCTATAATTTGGTCTGACTGTTCTGACAGTGTGTTTGTCTTGTCTGACTTGGCTGGTTCTTTAAATAATATAACAGACTTCCCTTTTGTCCTGGGCCTGGCAAAGGTATTTTACGAGACATCTTTCCCCCTAAAGAATTAAAATGGTTTTTAATAACTATACTCTCATTTACAAAAACATGCCTAATTCTATCGCACAAATTTCCTGTCTTTATGTTGAATTCTTTTGAATACATCTTACCTGTTCAAAGCGCTGTTTGAAAAATTCTTGAGAGGGTCTTTTTCTTTGGTCTGTAAATAAAAAGATACATGCTATGTGAGCAGCCTTAATAAACAATGCTATGATGTTTTCAGCTTAGTTGAACCACATGTCATTAACATACCTTAGTCTTCCTCCTGAGTTTCTCCCGCGGTTGTGTCTGTTTGAAAATCTTCTGTTGCTAACTTTGGAACTCTTTGGGGTAAATAGGATGTCTATGCAGTGAACAGGTTTACAGATGCGCTCCTCAGCGCCATCTATCGTCGGGGAGTTTGAAAAGGAACGAACGCGCTTCGGCCCAAAATCAGAATTTTTTTTTTGTCGAGAGAAATTGGTTGTGTGGCGTGAGTGCGAGTGAAAACATGCAAAAGCGTGTGTCACACTGCGAAACCGTGAGAGTTGGTAGCTTTGTGCTTCAACGTTTTCTCGTTTGGGATTTAAAACGAAAAACGAGAAACGAGTGTTTTCGTTTTCTGGTTTTTACGGTAAAGGCCGGCGCATGCTTCTTGCGTCGAAATTTCAATTCATGGTTCTGCGTGTGTTGCAGAGCAATTCACCGCCAGAACAACAGGCGGAGTGACGTGTTTTTGTTGAAGACGACCTAGAGAGTCACGTCTATTTATTTATTTATCATAGACTTTATTGCCACGTGCATCACCACTGCTGCTTTTCATCGCGGACACATTTGTCCTGTATTTTCCTGCACAACTTTGTTCCTCTCGACCGGCAAACCGACGTTTGTGGAGATCTCCCTCCATGAATCCAACCCGCTTCTACAACCCGCCAATGACGACTTGTATAAGCGGTCATATTTACGCATTTCTTCCGACAAAAGTTCTTAAATCTGATCCGTTCTCTCGTAAACATTCTTCGTTTTAATAATGGCGGTATCGGGCTATGAAAGCGGAAATGTGAGACTCCGTAAAGGACGTAGTTAGCGGACCAATCGCAGCCTGGTGCGCTGCGGGAGGCTTGCGTTGCTTGCGACGCTTTTGACGCAAGCCTAGAAAAATGGCTCGACACACGCAAGGAGGTGTGAAAAGCGACGCAAGGGACACGCAAGGTGGGCTTGCGTCTGCGTCGCTCTGAAAACGCAGAAGCATAAACTAGGCTTTAAAGGGACTATCAAAACGTACACGGACCCACGCTGGCTCTTTGTGGCGGCGGCCTGCGCGCGAGACTGGCATTCATAGCCAGCCAATCACAGCGCGGCTCACTGGGCCATTCCATCCAATCGCGGAGCCTCTTGTTGCTAGGCATTCCCGCCCCCCCGTTGCGACCGCGGACAGACAGGAGCAAGTCGACCGGTTGGAAGCTAAACTAATTCAATCACATTCCAGCAAGTTAAATTTGATTGTTATTCTCGGTTCCGTTTTGCGGCACAAGCGCGCGTATTTTTTACGAAAAATCTGAGCAATCTGCGAATGTTTTGTCCAGCGGGGTAAGATGTAAAAATCGCCATTTAATTTGTTCTGAATTGGCGCCAGTCGTGCTAGCAACGACGTCAGTTGGTCACGCCCCCTGGTGTTGTTGTTTGTAGCGACTAAGCGCGCGAGCTAACCGTTGGTACGTTAATTAACCGTTAATTTGCGATAGCGGAGGGAAAAAAAGCTCCCGATCGGTGAAGTAAAGTGGACGATGGCAGATTTCCACGAAAATCCGTCTGTTCTCACGAAAGAAAAGCTGAAGAGTGAGCTCGCGGCTAACAATGTTCCGCTTCCCGGCGGAGAGCATAAAAAGAGGTGTACGTACAGCTGTACTTGAAGAACCTAACCGCCCTAAAGGAGAAGAAGAGCGCTCCCACCGACACGTTCTCCAGCGACGAGGACCTGCCCCTCCCCGTGATGTCCGGCTCCAGTCGATCTGGAAGAGTAAGTTTCGCCTCATTGTTTTTTTTTCATTAGTGAGGAGGGGGGTTAAGGATAGATCAGTTAATGACTTGTATAATGTGTACACTTTATTATTTCTACAGAAAGCTACGAAAAAGACGGACAGGCCTCGCTCGAAGGAAGTGGAGGTGACGGACCTGACTGATGACGATCTGAAGCAACAGCTGGAAAAACATGGTGTGCAACCAGGACCCATTGTTGGTGAGTTCCTCGAGACCTGTGACGGACTTGTGTGAAAAGTAAGATTATGGTTGGCAATATTGAAGATTTACCTGCATTTACCAATAATCCGTCAAATGTAGTTAGTATATAATTAGTTTGTTGTGACGGATGCCTTCAAACATGTCCCTGAAGCTTTGCTACCTATGTCAAGGTAATCCTGTTGAATTGACCTAATTGAACAAAAATGTCTGCCTTCAGCCTCCACCCGGAAGCTTTATGAGAAGAAGCTGCAGAAGCTTTTGGACCAGCGTCCAGCTGAACCTCATCCTCAACCTCCCCCAGACCTTAGAGCTCTCCCCAATACAGACGGTAACCCGAATGGCAACACCAATTCTGAACAGTACAGTGACAAGGAAGATGGTGAGCTCCCACGACGCATTCTCTGTGCCCAAAGCATGGCCTGAATATGTCCGCATGTCGTCTTTTGTTGCGTAGAGTTATCAAGAAACCTTGATGAATCTGATTCCCGCACAGCCCCCCTGATGTAATGTTGGCAAAACAGGGATTTCTGTACTGATGGCTTCATGTTTCACTGTTGTGTTGACATTACAACATGAGTTTCTTTCAGAGGGGATCGCTGAACCCAAACCGGTTCCTGTGGTGGAGAACCCTGAAACGAGCAGAGGGAAAACTCGAGGCACAACGAGCAGCAGACCACAAACCAAGGCGAGGCACATTAAGCACTTCACAATCTCTGTGGTAAGAATGTATTTTCAATTTGTTATTAAAACAAAAAATTGTATTGATCATACTAACAGGATAGTGAAGACACTCCCAAGGACACCAACAAGAGTGTTGAAGATATTCTTGCCAATGAGATAGCCACACCAGGCATGAGGTAATGAGCATGTGACTCATGCAAAATGTGACTCAAAATGCAGTGGATCTTGGATTAAGATGTGTTTGTGTTTAATCTTGTTGTTTCCTTGGTCAGTGTAACCTGCCGGCGTCCGATCCGGGGGGCAGCTTGTCGACCATTGAAACAAAGTGAATACTGGCTGGACGAGTCCCGTTTGCAGCACAGCGTCCACACAGAGATCCGCTCTTACTTCGAATCTTTATCCAGAGTGGGCAGCTCCGTCTCCCCAGGCAAAGCGCCGGCCCAACAAGGCTTCCTTTCTATGTTGCTCAAGCTCCTGTTGCTTGTTGCGGTGGCCGGGTCCCTCCTCTATGCCTACCAGAACCTGGATGCCGACAGCTTCGACACCCTCAAAGGCGCCCTGGACCACTTTGTCGTCGTCCCCCTGCATGGTGCCGTGAACAGCGTAGCCACCTACTTGGGCATCGGTGGCGCCCGCGCTGCAGAGATCGCCAGTAAGTAACGACCCTCGGCAGTCTCTCCTTTCCATGCCCACGCCTCCTCCTGGGCACTGCATAGCACACCACAACTCAAGCAGCAAACTCGGCTCCCCTCCCCCTCTTAGAGTGACGCCGAGTGCGAAAAGTGGTAAGTTCCTTTGTCAGGACGGCAGGTTCCGGTGGTCAGTGGCAGGTTCCCTTTTCGGAGCGGCAAGTTGCATTGGTCGGTGGTCGGTTCTTCCGGTGGTCGGTGGAAGGATCCTTTTTCAGTGGAGACATGGACCCGCCCCCTCCTCCTCATGCAAATGACATGTTAATGAGTATCTTTACGGCCACGCGTTTGCCGTATATCATTTTTTCTATCTTTATTGAGAATCAGGCACAACACAGCGACCTGCAAGTAGCGCAGCGTCTTAAATAAAGTGATGTGTGTCTTAATGCGATGCTTTAGAAATGAACACAAAGGGATTCTGTATTTGTTCATAAAGTCTGAAAAGGGTCATTTGGGCGACGTTTTGATAACCGACCGCAGCGAGCGGAGAGAGAGCACCAGCGGACTGACAGCAGCCCCCACCCTCCGCACCCCGGCCAAACCGTTCACTTGACCACTAGAAATGGGTTATTTAGCTTGCGCGGTCGATACATATGTCCCTTTATTGTTTTAGCGTTGCCTCTTTGATTATCGCCAGCTTCCTATGATGTGAACGGTCGGTCACATGAACCGTCGCGACCTTCCCATGATGAAATTGCACTTTTATGTTCATGTTGAGTCATCATCCTTATGTTTGAAATGCACTTATTGTAACCTTAGTCGCTTTGGATAAAAGTGTCAGTTAATGTAATAAACGACCTGTCAGTCTGTTCTGGTCATGGCCTGTCAATCTCTGTGATTACATCTACCACTCATGAACGTTGGGTCAGTCTGATTCAATCCTTAACAATTTCCCACCAACTTAAATAGGATCCATATCAGTGTATTCCCCCTTTTGACCTCATGAAAATGCAGATTCTAAATTAGACTTAATACCACCACATTTTACCTCATTGATGGGGTCTTCAGTCGCAGTGTCCCTTTCCTGCCAGGAGGGGTCCTTGTTTGAACACCCTTGTTTGGCCGGGGTGCGGAGGGGGGTGCGGAGGGTGGGGGGCTGCTGTCAGTCCGCTGGTGCTCTCTCTCTGCTCGCTGCGGTCGGTTATCAAAACGTCTCCCAAATGACCCTTTTCAGACTTTATGAACAAATACAGAATCCCTTTGTGTTCATTTCTAAAGCATCGCATTAAGACACACGTCACTTTATTTAAGACGCTGCGCTACTTGCAGGTCGCTGTGTTGAGTCTGATTCTCAATAAAGTTAGAAAAAAATGATTTACGGCGAACGCGTGGCCGTGAAGATACTCATTAACATGTAATTTGCATGAGGAGGAGGAGGCGGGTCCATGTCTCCACTGAGAAAGGATCCTTCCACCAACCACTGGAAGAACCGACCAATGCAACCTGCCGCTCCGAAAAGGGAACCTGCGACTGACCACCGGAACCTGCCGTCCTGACAAAGGAACCTTCCACCGACCACTTTTCGCCCTCGGCCCTACTGTCCTCTTAACTGCACAGTTGGACAAAAGGTTGCAGATGTAATTGGTACGCTGAACTTTCTCCCTTTCTAGACTTGGCTTTCCTCCCGACCACGAGGAGATACAGTAGCTTCTGGATAACACTGTTTAGTGACAGTCAGAAGAGACTCATTTTATTGTTCATTTAATCTGTGCATTGTTTGTATCTTTGTGTGTATTTGACCCCTGTGTTCAGAAGGAGGTGGCAAATGGAGAGGCCAGTTTGTTCATGCATGGTTGTAGTTTTTGAAGGTCAAACTGTAGGTTTCTAACTCTGTGCCAGATGTTTTTTCTGACAGTGAAGTGCCTGAACACTCTTAGCAAAACATCATGAAAGTACAATATATTCAAAGAAGCCAAACTATAATTTTGCAGGGGATGGAGAGGCTTAGTCAATTTAATCCAGTAGGCTGCAGCCCGGGAGCACAACAGGAAGAGCAGCAGCCATAGCGAGGTCAAGTCTGACTGAAGGGTTGGAAAAAGGAAGAGGACTTGCACTCAAAGTGGCTGGACCCTCAAGGCAACAGGTGAACAGACATGATTTCCTCTGTGATGTGGAATGTTCAATAAAATATCTGCAGGAGACGCGCAGATCTAGAATTGATTCGATTTTTGTTTGTATTTGTAAAACATTGTCATGAAGCTTGTTTTCTTTTCTCTATTAGGTGATAACAGTTGTTTCATCCGAATCCTCTTCATGTGCTCTGTATCCATTCTGAAGGGTTTTGAGTTTTGTGCTTTCCGGACCTTAGAATTGAAAATGAAATAGTTTGTTGTCATGTGATAATCCACTAACGAACATTAGGTGGTTGCAGAGCTGCCAACTTTTCAAAAAACCTTGGAGTGAGATTTTGTCGGGGGTGACCAAAATCTTGCCGCGCACGCAGCCACACACGTTGGTGGCTCAAATATCAGGAAATTGTAATTCATTTGCCGTAGTACCCATGTTATACGCTGCATTCTGGTGGTTTGTGGGGCCCAAAGTCATTGATAGGGGCGGCCTACTGGAGGTGGACAACATTGGTTACATACTGTGATGCAAAGACATAGCTGATGGTCCACCCCCAGGACATTTTGGTTTAAGTAGATGTTATTTCATGCATTCTAGTGGATTTTGGGGTGGTATGCCTGAACTTATTCTGATTCATGTTCATGTGCTCATGACTTGTGGGGCCTTCCAGACTTGAGCTGAACATTCAACCAGAAAACTATTGCTGTGCCTCAATGACTGTCTATGTACCACAATATAGCCTAATTAATAGACCTGTGTTTAAGATTTGACCAATTTAGGTTGATTGACCTTTTGATTACAATGGTATTCAACTAATTCTTAACTGAAACCTAACCTATATTGTTAATAATTGTATTCTTAAGAGCACTTGATGATTTATGTTCAGCAAAAAATTACACAAGTTTAGTTAGGGAAAAATATTGTTGATTATCAAACAAAAAAGTGCAACAAATAAAGTTCTTAAACAGTAGCCTTTCAAAGCAAAACAATGGATACATATAGTATAAATACACATAAATCAAATTTAAAAAATGAGGTATTAAGAAGGAGATCAGAAGCTGGTTAGTAATTTTTTAAGATTTGTGGGCAAGGTTGTACTGGCCTGTGGCCTCCTTGGAGGCCTTGATGACCGCTGAGGGGGGCTCCCATCTGAAGCAGGGCTCCAGGTCGGCCATCTTTATGGCCATGATGGAGGACAGGGTGCCATCCAATGCCAGGCTATTTCTGGTTTTTGTTTTATTCAGTCCCACAACTGAAAACACCTTCTCAGCATCAGCATTTGAATGGGGCAACACCAGGACCAACTTGGCGACGGCAGCAAGCCTCTGAAATTCTTTGGCTCCTGTCACCTATTGAAAATGAAGCAAGAACAAAATGGAAAAGCATACCATATTTTGTTCGGATTAATATTGTAAGTATACTGTAACAAACTTCAGATACAACATGCATCGTTTGCATCGTATATGACACAATATATGCATGCATCAATAAAAGTCCTGTGTGTTGCTCCTCTGTCTGTTGCCCTGTTGTTTCTATAATTTGGTCTGACTGTTCTGACAGTGTGTTTGTCTTGTCTGACTTGGCTGGTTCTTTAAATAATATAACAGACTTCCCTTTTGTCCTGGGCCTGGCAAAGGTATTTTACGAGACATCTTTCCCCCTAAAGAATTAAAATGGTTTTTAATAACTATACTCTCATTTACAAAAACATGCCTAATTCTATCGCACAAATTTCCTGTCTTTATGTTGAATTCTTTTGAATACATCTTACCTGTTCAAAGCGCTGTTTGAAAAATTCTTGAGAGGGTCTTTTTCTTTGGTCTGTAAATAAAAAGATACATGCTATGTGAGCAGCCTTAATAAACAATGCTATGATGTTTTCAGCTTAGTTGAACCACATGTCATTAACATACCTTAGTCTTCCTCCTGAGTTTCTCCCGCGGTTGTGTCTGTTTGAAAATCTTCTGTTGCTAACTTTGGAACTCTTTGGGGTAAATAGGATGTCTATGCAGTGAACAGGTTTACAGATGCGCTCCTCAGCGCCATCTATCGTCGGGGAGTTTGAAAAGGAACGAACGCGCTTCGGCCCAAAATCAGAATTTTTTTTTTGTCGAGAGAAATTGGTTGTGTGGCGTGAGTGCGAGTGAAAACATGCAAAAGCGTGTGTCACACTGCGAAACCGTGAGAGTTGGAGCTTTGTGCTTCAACGTTTTCTCGTTTGGGATTTAAAACGAAAAACGAGAAACGAGTGTTTTCGTTTTCTGGTTTTTACGGTAAAGGCCGGCGCATGCTTCTTGCGTCGAAATTTCAACTCTAGGTTAACTAAAACCACTGAAAGGCTCAGTTACATTTTAAATCAAGAAATAGTATACACTATTCACAAATTAATATTAATAGGTTTATTTCTTGAGGGCCGAGAAGCATGTTTCCTTGTCGTAAAGCTTTATTTGGCTCCCTAATGACTCGTCAAATAATTCCCCAGGTAAATGAAAGGATGTTATTTAATCAACAAGGTACGAGAGGCTGTATTTTATTGTCCAACAAGGAGTTTGGCTCTTTGCGGTAACATTATAAATAGTAAGTAAATAGCTGCCTTTCAGCACAAAATAGTTGTAGCCACCAAACGTGTATCGCATTTCAGTAGTCTAGAGAAAAATAGTCCCTGTACGTGCACGTAAACGTTATTGGGTCTCCTTGCAAGATCTCACAGCATCTCATTTATTCACATTGCTGATGACGTCCACCTCAATAGTCCGGGTGCTAAAGCTCACATTGTCCCAAACAGATCATTTGTGGGATTTCTGGTCTTTTTGGGGTGATCGCCACCGAGCTAAAACTAAAATGTCAACTAACGGTCGAAAATCTAAAATGTTTAGTGTGAGTGTGGAGTGATACTGAGCGCTCGGGTCAATGTGAACAGGTACTGTACATTATCGCTCAATAATGCACCCCTCGTGACTCACTCTCAACCAATCAGAATGCTGGATTTTATCTACCCGCGTTACAAAACGAGTTACGACACCATTATCAAAGTTGAACGTTTTACGTCACTGTGTCTGCGTTCAGCTTCAAGGAGAATAAATCCTAATCATTCAAATATTCAACAAGTTGCTGTCAAACCGCTGTGTTATCGACAATTTGGCTTAAATGGCTCATTGGCCATTGCTTTGGTTTCTCAGTCATTCAGCTACCGACCTTTTTTTTTTATATACTTATCCACTAAAATCCACTGTCCTGTCTGTGGCCTTGCAGGTTAAGTCTCTTCATTAACCAGTTGTGTTTACATGCTTTGAGCGGAGAGCACCCTTCTCTTGGTAATCCAGCTTCATTCAAAGATAATGAATGGGCAGTTCGTCGTCACTTTTATTGCTATTTCAGACGTGGAAAATTGTTAGAGCTAATTCGTCTTTCAGAATAAGCAGTGATACCATGCACAGACAGAAAGTGTTGTATTATAGTATCAACAATTTGCAGCGTAATTGTGGTAAAATTCAGAGGCAGCGAGACGAATTATTATGTTATTTGTAAATAGTGACAATAATATTGGAGTGTGAACGAGGAGGAAGGATTACGTAATACACTGCATTCATCCACAGAGAAAATATTAGCATATGTGTGTGTATATATTTTCTATATATAACATTAAATGCAAGGTGAATGTCCACATGTAGTTCAGGTGCAGCAGATGGTGGCAGCGTTAAGGGATTACAGTAACTCGCCTTGGCTGGCCTTGAGTCACATGCTCCAAGCAGCTCCAAGCTACTGCGGCAGCTGACCGGCGGATACCTCCTCGGGTTGTCTGGTTTGCACTAATAGTAGCTGTGGGAGGTGGATGTGGAGGCAGGGGGTCCGCAGCTCTGTGGCATCACACCTCCGGTATCCGTTCACTCTGCCATGCTGGTTACATCTTGGTATTTATACCTCGCAGCTCGGAGCCTCGACAAACAATGCAAGTATTGCTCCTTTTTGTGTGTGTGTCTGGCCGCTTGTCCTTTCAAGGTGAACTCTGCAGGAAGATAACGCATCGATGTCATTGTGTCTTCTCTTTTTCTTTTTTATTTGTGTAATTGATCTAGATGTCTGAGAATTCCTACATCCGTTAGTGCTACTGTGAGCAGTGTGTGGCATCGTTTTTAATCCCTCTACACTCAGATTGTGAAATGCGGTGTCATGAATGCAGTATTTATGAAGTTTGAGCATGCAGCTTCCCGGCTGCAGGACCGTGTCCCTCAGTTGTGTCCGTGCGTCGTGTTCGTCGCTCTACAGTCAACATGCTTTCCGACCAGTAACCTTGTTCCCCTTCCTCCTTCCTCTACTTCTTAAACTTACAGTGAACATGGCCTCAATTCTGCAGAAGCTGCTAACTCCGCTGTTCAGCGGCCCTCCTGAGCCCGCCAGGAATAAAGTGACAGTGGTGGGCGTGGGGCAGGTCGGCATGGCCTGTGCTATAAGCATCCTGCTCAGGTTAAGAGCCCCACTGATTTCGCCTCAGATTACCTTGATGCCAGCTAGTGTCACAGAAGAGGGTAACACCCAGAACCGACGCTGGATTCTTCCTGATCTCCATGGTCTTGGAATTTGACTTTATTGAAGAAAATACATGCATAACACTGTGGATGTAGCAGGTGGACGCCTAGTTTATTATTATTACATGCTTAACCCATATAATAAGTATCCTCGATCCTCCCCATTATTGATTGATTATGATTGGTGAATGAGTGTAGAGTGCTGTGTGCAGGAGCTGGCTGATGAACTTGCCCTGGTGGACGTGATGGAGGACAACCTGAAAGGAGAAATGATGGACTTACAGCACGGCAGCCTCTTCCTCAAAACCCACAAAATTGTCGCAAACAAAGGCAAGTTTAAACCTCACACATCAGAGTGTGCAAACATTGATCACAAAAAGATACCCCAATGCGTATAGGACTTTGGAAGTGAGGAAGCGTGACCTTCGTCTACTCCTCGGCTTTCAGACTACTCCGTGTCAGCGAACTCCCGCATCGTGGTGGTGACAGCCGGAGTCCGGCAGCAGGAAGGAGAGAGCAGACTGAACCTCGTCCAGAAAAATGTCAACATCTTCAAGCACATCGCCCCTCAGATTGTAAGATACAGCCCCAACTGCACTATCATCACCCTCCAACGCCATGTCTTCACTCTGTTTTTAACTTCCCCCATGCACCTAATGATGGCAACAACTCTTTCGAACAGTTGATGTGCTGACCTATGTCACCTGGAAACTGAGCGGCCTCCCCAAGCACCGCGTCATCGGCAGCGGCACGAATTTGGACTCGGTGCGCTTTCGCTTCCTGATGGCCGACAAACTGGGAATCCATCCCAGCACCTTCAACGGATGGATCCTGGGCGAGCACGGAGACACCAGTGGTGAGGACCAGTGTTCCGTTAATGACCAGCGATGGTCCGTCTAGACTGAGTGTGCAGCGTGTGGACAGAGGTCACCGGTTTTAAGATTGTGTCTCTAGTGCCCGTGTGGAGCGGAACCAACGTAGCAGGGGTCAACTTGCAGACTTTGAACCCAGACATCGGCACTGATTGCGACGAGGAGAACTGGACGGAAACGCATAAGATGGTGGTTGACAGGTGGGGACACTGTTCTTTGATTTATGTAGAAAAGGTAGCTGTAAAAATGTTCTGGTTCACTCTTCTCTCGTATAAATCCCGTAAGAATGACACTGACATTTTCATCCAGATCATAAATAACCCTTTTAGTTTAGGGTCCCTTCTAAATGGTATTTCACATAGGTTAGATTTTGTTATCTGAGTTTAATGCATATCAAAACAGACTAAGTGATAACTATTGACTGGTGATCCATAATATAGTCTATTGCCACCTGTATGAACTGTTGTGTTGTGTCGGTATGAAAATTGGACAGTAAAAGAGTGAGACAAAATTGCGCCTCACACCAAAAGTCTTGTCCTCTCAGTGCCTACGAGGTGATCAAAGAGAAGGGTTACACCAACTGGGCCATCGGGCTGAGCGTAGCTGACCTGACAGAAAGCCTCATCAGGAACATGAACAGGATTCATCCCGTGTCCACTATGGTGAAGGTAAAGGCAGCTCACACGGAAGGTATGAGCTGTAGCTCATCTCTAAACTGTTTTGTAACATTGTCTGACTCAGGCACCAAACTGCTTTTGTCTTACTTCTTTTCAAAATCATTCTTCTTTTTTTTTTTAATAATTGAGTTTTAAGTTTAACGTTAAAAAGATCATAGTTCATAGTGTAGCATATTAGAAATAAACTGACGACCCGGTTCATAAAATTAATAAAATGCATATAGTGTACACCAGAATACAGCCATGATTCTGAAACTGTCAGCATGGTTACATGGATTCGAATAACTGGCTTAGTCGGACTGAAATCGAATTATCCGTTTCATGCAAACACCTTTGTCCGACTATGTGCGATCCGACTACGATCCGATTAACACCCCTGGATAACTTGATCCGATCCAGTTGTTAGTCCGACTATTCGGGCATGTAACGGTGAATCGGATAAGGAACTGGACTTTGCGCATGCTTGAGATCCCGCCGCCCTCCTCCCTCCCGGAAGTCGAAAGAGACTACTGGGAGCCTGGCTGGCAGAAAACAAACAAACAACGCTATGGACAACACAAGAGTCCCTATAGTAGAGCACAACGGCGTAGATTCGGGTGTTCAGTTGCCAACTACCATGGGTAAGTTAATTTCAGTTGCATCACACTAAAACAAGTGCTAGATTCCAGATGCTAGCTGATGCTGTTTGTGAGATGTGTTAGCAGTGCTAATATGTGTTGAAACATGTGTACCTTCCCTTAACTTGCGAGGAATTAAATCGACGATGAAAACAACGTACAATCATAAAACGTAAGGCTAACCTGGGTCCCACTTGATAACCGTAACTTTCGAAGCTAACATGGGTGCCACTTGCTAGCTAGCCCTTAGTCTTTGACAAACGTGGAGACCTTCCCACTAACTTGCAAGGAATTCAATTTAGGATGAAAGCTAGTTACAAACGTAATAAAGTGTACATTCCTGTTATGACCCCGCCCTTCATTTGCTTGCTTGCTGGTGGCGGTGTCTTCCAGGGAGAGCGTGGGAGATTGCACACCCCTGTTCCCTGATTACCTCTTAATTGTGGAGAGGATAAAACTCTGGATTTCCCTTCTCCACAGACCTTCCTCCAGGGGAGCGACTGCCTCTGGAGAAGTCACTTTGGCCTACCTTTGTTTAGTTACCCAATTCATACCAATCTTTTCTCTCCCCATTTGGATTATGATTTTTCCCTTTGTTTTGAACCTAGACTTTGTTTGTTAAGTTACCGTTATTCTGAAAGAATATTTAAACTCTTACAAGTCATGTCATTGTACTTGTTTTCTTTATGTACGGTCGAAACGAGCTGGCCGTAACAATTACATAAACTGTACTTTCTACATTTGTTTTTGCACTATAGTTGAGTTTTTATGTTTCTTTGTCTATTTTTATGTGCATGCAATTTCTTTGTGCGCGTTATTGCGCACGTATTCGCTGTAAAGCACTTTGAGCTGCATTATTTTGCATGAAAGGTGCTATATAAATTACGTTTTATTATTATTTGTGCTGTACCATCTTATAGATACTACAATGGACCCGGAAGAGACGCTGCTCGGAGGCTCATCTGGAACCTCCTCACCTAGGTCAACTCCACCACCTTCTACTCCACTGCGTGCTACCTCCTCAGTTAGGTCGACTCTAGCTTCACTCCACCACCTTCAACTACTCCACTGCGTGCTACAATTACCGATGATCTACCTGGTAAGTTCTGCAATATTATAACTGCATCAACATATGGGCATCACAAAGAATCTTCATGCCATGCTTTCACTCATCCTGTGTAGTCTAACAAAGAGCTGATGTCAAGATGGTTACTACCACATGCCTAATCGGTAGGAATACAACTGACTTTATACCTGCCATTTCTTAAAGGAACAAGGACCCAGCAAACAAGGCAAATGAGAGACGTTGATGTGCTGGTAAACCAGATGCAAGTCTCAACAATGGAAGGAGGACATGGCAAGAAGTGAGGCCCGGGAGGAACTGTTGATCGCCAGCATCCTCCGCACTGACAGTATGGTTGAGAAGCTGATGCAGAGAATGGATAACATTCAACCTCAACCAAACACATTCTCACCACCACCACAACATCAACCACATCAAGGTTTTACCTTTTATACTTGTGTGCTTTTATACCTTGTTTTTCTTGTGTGCTCTTATACCTTGTTTCACTTTTCTTAATATTATAACTAAAACTTCTGTGAGTTTCTTTATTTGTGGAATGAAACACACATGAACTGTACAAGAATTGTATTTACAAACCTATGACAAACTGGCTATTATGTAATGAGTACGTCTAAAGGTATGGTCTGCTCAGGGGGAAGTTTGCACTCAGGTAATCTGTGAGGGCGGCTCAGATCCTCTGTCCATTTGTGTCGTCTGCGTGATTGTTGGCACGACCACCTGGCTGTGGCAGGTTGGATGCAAGTGTAGCCGCTTCCACTGACCAGTTGGGATTCACAACTTCCTTCTCATTCTCACAGAAATTGTGCAATGCACAACAGGTAGCAATCACTTTAGGGGTGAATGTAAAGTGGAAGTCACTACGCTTCATAAAAACTCTCCAGCGTGACTTCAGTCTCCCAAATGCAATCTCCACCGTGGTCCTTGCAGAGCTTAAGTAGACATTGAAGAACTCTTGCTCAGGGGTGATGTTTGGGGAATGGGTGTAGCCTTTCATGATCCAGTCCATGAGAGGATACGCTGGATCTACCAACAGGAAGTGACCGATTGAGACGCCATCGATTTCTCTTGGTTCCTGGGAGGAGAAACAGAATTGGTTACCAGTGTTGGACTTGCTTACTAAATGGCCCAGCATAAATAAACATAGTATACATAAAAACATAATAAAGCCTCTATAAAACATACTACTTTAAGCTTGTAACATACCTAGAAATCTCAATAGCTTGGTGGTAGCTCCACTAGTTTCTGCATGAATAACTTTCAGTAGCTTAACTCATTTATTTATCTTATTGATTTTATCCATACATTAATATGTCTTCAGAGTTCAATAATATATTGTTGGTCAGAATTAAATTCTCCATGTACCTTCGGCGACAGCGTCTTCTCTCCGTTATCAAATCAGCCAATAGCGCCATTCGCATTCGCTGTGCTCCTATTAACATCATGCACAAATAGTAGAGGGATGTAGCTTCACCTTGCTCTCCGTTCGCCATCTTTCTCGTAATGTTGTTGTTGTTGTTGTTCGTTGTTGTTGGTAGTGGTGAAGCGGTCAAGCAGAAATACTAGTTGTAATGAAAACAGCGCCTATCGTATCGGATATGACCTGCTTTCGACCAATGATTTGATTTATTCACTGCCATCTTTATTGGGATAAGCCGACTAAGCAAAGATTCCAATTATACCATCATGTAAACACACTGTGTGTAATCAATAAAGTTATGACAATATTGTAAAACCACTGTAATTCTGCAACTGTAATAGAATAATACCAATGTACAGTTATGATTGTATTTGATGTAATGTAATCAACTGGAATGCATGCATGTAATACTTGAACAACAACTGATATTGACTAAGGATCATTCGAAATCCGAGTTACATTGAACTCACCAGAAGACTCCCAGGGGTGTGGACACTGACTTTCACACCTTTAAGCATTGTTATAAATACTTGTAGGAACCATTGTTCTCGAGTTCGCTGGTGGAGGCGACAGACGGGCACTAGGGATGGTCAAAGGACTGACCTGGGGCCTGTTGGTTGCTGAGACCAGCGGCTCCTCAGCTGAGATGTTCTTTTTACCACAACACCATCTCATTTATTAAATACATTTGATTTTAACCTTTTGATCAGCGATGACCTCTGTCCGTCCGGCGTTTCTTCATTTTTGAACACAACAATTTGGTGACCCCGACGTGATGGAGATCAATGGACGGACGGAGGAACAGCTGATCTGAACAAAGCCCAGCGATCGATTTTCTTCACTCACACGGCGCCATCGAAAAGGTAACCGGCAACCAGTTGTTTTAAAACCGAAATGCTGTATAGTTTATCATAGAACATTTAGGTGTGAGTGGAAAAGATACGATGTTTTGAGGTAAACTAAATTTTAGAGAATTTTTTTTTTCTCTTAGCTTGAATGGCCGTTGTGATAAAAGCACATTGTATAGTGTTTGTCTGGACGTCTCTGTGTGTGTTACCGACGAAGCTCGGTTGTGTAGCGTTAACGTTAAGTGAATGGGCGACGTTATTTAACTGATCAGTCATAGAAGGAATGAATGGAAACCTAGTATAGGCCTCTAACCGGTTGAGGGTAAACGTATTGCAATTTATAGATTGTGTACGTAATGCACTGTGTAGAACGCGCTAGCAGAGTTAAGTCCACAAGGAGTGTTACCAGCAGTAATTGAGTGGAAGAGGTTTGCGATGTAATGGCGGTTCTTCGTTGTCTCCGTAAGCTCTCTTAGACTCTGTTAGGCGGCACAATAAATTAGGCAGTTTCACGGAACAGAGCGCCAAGACCCTCAAGGCTGGAGTTACAATTTAAAATTGAAAAAGGTGAGGATAGTGCCACAGGCCACTTGGCCATCTGCCAAGAGCCAAAAATATTAAATTACTAGATACATTTTTACAATAAATATAGATCACTTGAAAACATTGCAAACTTGCATATAATTGTGTGTTACATGTTTATGAAAGAATGAAGCCGGATTAAGGATTTGATGAGACCTGGTTTTGGGGAAAGCAGAGCACGTATGTTTTTGGAACGTTACAAGATGGCGGGCGGAGATAAATAGAGAAAACGGTTAAAAGATGGCTGAAAAAGAAATTCTTATTGCCAGAGGGTGTGAGAACGAAGGTACACACGGTCTAAAGAGGGGCTACGGGGCATGGTTTTGGAATTCCCTCAAAAAAGAGGAACAATGACTTGTTATCCACCATTATTGGGGGTGGAGAATGCAGAGCATGTGCTTTGGAGATTTCCAAAATGGCAGCCGGCGACAGATAAAGAAGCAGTTTTTGTATTCAGGGCTGCAACAACAAATCGATAAAATCGCTTAAAATGGCTTATTAAAAGCGTTGGCAACGAATTTCATCATCGATTCGTTGTGTCGCGCGATTATTACGTCACTCAATGAGTTGCGGAGATGCGCGCGGAGCAAAAATATAGGCGCCGAGCCGACGTAGAGGAAAGAGCAGCCGGCAGTTGTTGTGAGTCAGGTGTGCGAGCGTGGGGGGTCCCGGTCCCCGTCCACGTTGTCCCGTTTTGACGGGACGTAACAAGCCTCCTGTTTACGCGTCATCCAGCTGATCAAGCTAGCGTTAGCTCGCTAACAACAGCAGTAAAGCAGTTAGCAAGACGAAGACACGTTTTTATTTACTCGCCTCTTTTGGACCATTCATGTGTTGTCTGATATTTTGTGCTTTGTCCCATATCGGTTATTGTTGACGAATATATTTGTGTGTGTTGTACTTTTTAATGCTGTCATATACGGTAGTCCAGTGCGCTTGCGCATTTACTGTGGGTTATACGGTAGTTGATGTTACGCCTGTAAAGGGAGAAACATGGTGATCCATTAAATCAACTAAGAAGCCTCTAATGCATTTATTTACAGATGCCATTTTAAATTCATCTCATATCGCTTGGTTGTTTTTTAGCTTTATGCATTTACTTAACTTGCACTACAATGATGGTAATAATTTAATGAATATGCTTCAAGTCATAATCGGTTATCAAAATAATCGTTAGTTGCAGCCCTATTTGTATTACCCACCTCCACTTTGTATTTCCATTCAACAGTGCCTCCCCTGCCCCTATCTTCAAATTATTCTAACATTTTTTTTTCTTCCTCCATTCTTAGGATCATGTGATTTTGCTTGCATTTTAAACTGTCTATGGACGTTTTATAGGCTCTATGTGATTCTTTGTGTTTTAATGTGTATATAATTGGTCTCTGCTTACATTAACACAATTTTCCCATTTATTGTTTAAACATTTTTACAATTACTGAGTTTGAGAGAGACTCTCACTTTCTAGAGTCTGCAACACATGACACACAGACACACACAGCAACAGCACACCTAAAGATGCACATAAGTATCACACATCAACACACACATGGGACCTCCGCAAGAGACAAAGGACAGGACGCCGTCTGTGGACCCGGTCTGGTAAGACAAAAAAAAATCTCATACAGCATCTTGATGACGGAAGCAAATTTTAGATCATAGGATAACATTAGTAATAGCAGGATGGAAAACTTGTAATGATTTTATCAACAAATCATACAAACATGTAACTACACATGATATATATTGATAATCTGTCATTTTCATTAGGAACACATGAATGTTCTAGGTCACTAACAAACCATGAGTTGAGTTTTGAGTTCACAGGTACAGAACGCAGGTAACAGTAGTGTTGTTGAAACCCCCGAAAGCTGCTGCAGCCCTGACGACTGATGAGAATGCAAATGCAAGTCCAATTGTGATGGAAAGTCACAAAGACAATGGTAAACTGACTGTAATGGTGGGGGCCCTCAGTGGGCCAACAGATGGTTGATCTTGATGGGCAGATGTAAGTTAAGAAGGACAAGGGAAGTTGAAAACTGATGAAGGACACACATAAGGTGTTTGACGGTACGGTAAATGGTAAGCGTAAGTGTAAAGATGGGAAAGAAGGTTAGAAGATTAAACAGTTGTTCAAAGTTTTGGTGACAGATCATCAAATCACACATCACATCACATCACATCCTGGAGCCCAGAGAGGCTGCAAGGAGAAAAGGAGGAAGCAGCGAACGGTTTGAGGTGGCAGAGGTCAAAGGGTGCAGACAGCTGACCAACAGGAGGGACTTAGCAGGTCTCCCAATACAACAACAAACGGGATAAGCATAACTATTTTTACAGGGGTTCTGTTGAGAGTAACATGGTCTTAGAGTCCCGGATCAGAATTTGAAAACCACACACACTGTTTGAATGCAAATATTCTGTGTATCATGCTTTAATCATTTTTCTATATCACTGCAAAGGGACTGTTGTTTTCTTAATTTCTGTTTTTCAATTTAAAGGAAGAGCTCGCCAGCCAGCGTCTGAAGTCTGAAGCTGACCTGATGCTGATTCTAACACATTTATTTTTGAACACAACAATAGTCAGCAGTATTGATACAGACATACAGTAATTAAATATACATATACATCATATGTTTTGTCTAACTAGATCTCACATTTGAGGTGTCTAAAACAAATCCACTAATAATGACTTTTCCTTTACGAATGTAGTTTTTTCTATGTTTAGCCATTTTAAATTTCAGCACAAGAATCCCGCATTTCTGCTGCCGGTGAGGTTTTGGTATGTTGTGTGCAAGGCATGTATGGGATCAGTAACGAGGTGTATCTGAGCCTGCCCTGCATGCTGAACGCCGGAGGCGTGGCCAGCGTGATCAACATGACCCTGATGGAGGACGAGGTGGCCCGGCTGCAGGCCAGCGCCAGTACGCTGTGGGACATCCAGAAGGACCTGCAGGACGTCTGAGCGCACAGCAAAGGGCGATGCGGCGGCCCTTCACTCCCGACGTACCATCACCCTGCAGTCACTAAACGTCACGCGGCGCCACCTTCCATTCACTGCCCAATGTAGAGCCACTGGAGTTTATTCCCGTCAAACGTAGCTGTAGCTGTCTGTTAGTGACATTGGCTCTCTCTTACCGACGGGTGTGCTGGACGGTTTATCTAAAACGCTACCATGACAACGTGAACAAGCTAACACACTGAAAGCGCCGACTTTATTGTTTTTATTGTGGGTGCATTTTGTGATGCACCGCCCTGCAATGAAAACGAAACATGATGATGTCATAAAATGGACTTTTTATCACAGACTTGAACCCGTAAATTAACTCTTAATAAATGCTTTAGTTCACATGTGTTTATTAGATGAGCATGTTGATTATTCTTTCCTAAGAATGTGTGTTATAAAACCATGTTGACATCTGATCCATCTGTATGTGAGGAAAGACGACTAAACGTAGGTAAAACATTGTTATGCAGTTTAGGTGTCCTAGAATAAAAGCTTTAATGGTTGCATAATATGAGAGCCTTTCGTGCACAGATATTTTTTAGAGATTTTAAGGATTAAATTGTTGTCAGCTGGTGACCTTTGATTGACTCCGTCACGGTTAGTTTAGGCTGCCATGTCCAATAAAACTCCCAGACGGTGTGATGATGAACGACTCGGTGATGTTTAGCATGGTGTTAATCATTATGTAGTGTGAATTTCTTAATCGCTGCCCAGAGCTGAAAGAAAATTTTTACAGGAAAGGTAGAAGGGAATCCCTCCCTCGTGTTCACACACAGCAAACCGACATGGCGATGGAATTTTATTTACTCAGAAGGTTTGTAAACTCGAACAGCAACATGTAACACATACTGGAATAAGATAACAAAAATATATATATCTTAACATATATTTCAAATTCAGCGGTTGTTCATTGTGGTAATTATCTGGATTACCTCCACCTGAGGAAACAATTTCATTAGAATCGATTTGGATATAAATCTCTGTTTTGTTGGAAACTTTCAGGATTTTGACCTTTTTCAGCGACTCGCTGCAGAAGCTCCAGAAGAAACGAAGACAAAGATGCTCCGGGTCCCTCAATGCTCTGGTTGCGAGTCACTGCAGAGACATTTAAGAAAAGTTCAAATGTTCTGTTATTAAACTGTTACACAGAATCAGTAAAATCAGTACCCACTTAGAAAAAGTCAGGTGAAGTTTGTAAAGGGGTTGTTTAAAAAAAAAGGTAAAGCATCTTTTATGCATTTTAAAATGTTAATTAAGTAAATTGTTAAGTGTTGTGAGGTTTTTGTAGCCAAATCTAAGTCAAATGTTGGTTAAAACTTTGCACTGGAATGTATTTTTCTCCAGGTTCTAATAGTAGTAATGAAGATATTACGAGTCAACAACAGAGACTTTACACAAAGTCTTCCTTACTAACTGCTTGTATTACTTATTTACCAAGTCATTAGTTACAAGTTGCAAACCCTTCAATGTTACTAGAAAGTGGAACCTGCTTTGAAGAGCCTAAAATAATACTGCACCACTGCACAAATAGCATTTTTTTAATCCTTTCTCAAGTTAGCTGCAGGGCATCACATGCCCACTGTGTAAAGTGTTCCCTTCCACGCTGCTGGTACGCCGCAACACCGAGCGGTCTCTAAACACCCACGCTCAACACAGTTCCATTCATTTCTCAAAACCAGTTATTTCAACAGCTTTACATTTCCTCTGCAAATTCTTACGTGCTCCTTATAGGTATAGGATGGCGTGAGGAGTCCAGTTCCTCTGCTGATGCAAAAGACCATAGTTTATCTCATCATTCTATTCCTCAGTGTGTTTGTTTAAATTGAGGTCAAAGAGCAGAAAATGTTCTTCCACCCACTTGTGCTTCTCCCCAAGTCGCGGCCACCAATGTCACCACAAGCAAAGTGACTGTTGGAACCATTGTTGAACTGTAATTACATTCAGTGACATTAGAATATATATATATATATATATATATATATATATATATTATTTTTTTTAAAGAAATCTTTAAAAAAAAAAAAGATTTTATATTGTCAAAGTGATTCGAACAATATTCTCACTTATCTGCTTATGCAGAGGAGTTCTAACAGTGGACAAGTACATGTATAAACTGCTATGTCTACATTTACATTACAGTCTGTTAAAAACTGCTTATGACCTAAAGTATGTTCACTATAAAAACAATTATCTGGCTTCTCCTTTAATTGAAGGACATGTCAAGAGTGGAGAAATTAACAACTAATATAAAAAAATATAAACCATGATAACAATAACACACAGCAGTAATAATATAAAGAATAAGAAGGACCTTACCGTTGATTGTGTGTACGCTCTCCTGTGGGCTAAGCACTTGTGTTATGAGCTCCTCTCACTGCCACATTATGAAATCGATCGACCTCTGCGTCACTGATGAGGCTAAAGGCCTCACTGGGGCCTTGTGTTATATTTCCATTGACGAGATTGACAGGTGTGTTAAATCCGTCATGGCTCATCAGGCACAGAGAGGAGAGGGAGACATTCACAGTCCCTTAAAGTACCGGCATTGTCTTCGCGAGGTCACCGCGTCACATTTTATGAATGAAAGCTGGCTTGACGACAGCGTGCTGAGTGGAGTCGGCGGGCGTAGACATGTGAGGCCTTTGGGCTGGAGGAGGAGGTGGAGGAGGGAGAGCCCTACAACAGTACCGTACTTTTCACCGCGTACTTTGTCATTTGTCTTCATTACTCGTTCTTTGGTGAGCTTTACGAGGTTCCGTTAAGTGGAATGTTTCCCTTTGGACGGAGGCAGACCAGCTGGTGCCCACTTCCTGTCTTTATGCTAAGCTACACTTTCTTACTTTCCAAAGTGTCTCAACTTATTACTCATAAATATTAATGGAAGGTTTTAAAAACACGCTGTATTTATTTTGTCATCTTTGTGATCTTACATCATTATTTATGATTACTGCTGTGATGGTTAAACGGCTACTTGACAAAAAGATCAGAGACTTTCATGCAGGAACTGAAATGAATGAAAACCAAAGGCTCTTTGTTGAGAAGGCCGCTGGTACCCTGAAGCAATTCATGCCTTTTAAAAATCTACAGTGATTATACATCCCGCTTGACATATAAACCTGTTAGCAGTGCTGAAAAAGCAACTACCACACAAGCTTATAAAATACACTTTATTCCAAATACGCACATAGAAAAGTTACAGCCAAACACCTCCATAGAAAGCATCTTAACCTTAACTGTCTTTGCCAAAGTAACACCTGGCTTACCATTTATTTTTAATGTGCAACATTCCAGTAAAGTTTCATCAAAGGAAGTAGCTGGCGGTTCAGGCACACGTTGCAGAGGAGAGGATGCTGCAGAGAGCTCCAGACTCTCGGCTCAGTTGATGCCGGGTTCCCACGTTATCAGTCCGTAAATGTCAGACAGGGATAATTCAAAATGGGAGACCCGCTTCCAGCTCTTAAAACAATAATTGAAAAAAATATTGTGGCTGTCAGATGAAATCATCAGGAGGTCAGTCAAACATTCACAGATTCACTTTGTTTGGATTCTCAGATCTGGAGTGGCAATGGTCCAAGTATTCCGGATCTATTAGTAACTACTATAAATAACGACGCGGCCCTCTAATGCTCCTCTGTTATACCATGTTGTTGCTCTCACCCATTTTATCCACTAGCTGAAAGAGAATAAGACAAGTGTTATTCATATGCTGCAATTTGTTACAAACTTATTATAAATCAAGTAGAATAAGTTAAAAGCTCAGATGAAGAAAAAGGCCAAGAATAAATCTGGTGAAACCACTGAAAGGAAAGTTTACCCCAAAGACGTAATGAGGCAGTAACACAATTATATAACTGATTAACAATGAATAATAATCAATCATAAAAGCTAAATTCAGAGGGAATTGGATGAATTTGGGATTTGTTGCTCGACGTGATACTTACTCCACTGATCCATGGCAAACTGAGCAAAGACCCGAGCAGAGGTACTCGTCTGATGAAGCCCACCGCCACTGGGAAGAATCCCCTGTTAATGAGAGAACGAGGATGAGGTGAGAGAAATAAATCACATTGATTCGGGATAACGACAGCAACGAGATGTTGCGGTCTTGTATGTTTGAGCCGACCTGAATAAGAGGAAGAAACCGTAAATCTCCAGAACGACTCCAACGATCGGCCATCCGATGAGAACCACCAGCACTCCTCCCAGGAAGAAGCTGGTGGCCTTCACTTTGTGTCTCTGGAAGAAGAATCTGAACGTTCGCTCGAGGCCGATGACGAAGGAAAGGCCGCAAACAAACAGGATCTGCCAAGCGAGACACACAGTGGGATCAGAGCCAGAAGGGAGAAGTTTGGCTGCCGTGCAGTGTGGTGATGGTATGATTGATTAACTCACATTTCCAATGGCGAGGAGAGCTTCATCAAAAAACAGCACCATCCCAAAGAAGAGGAAAAACACACCGAACCCGGTCAGCCCCATGCCAATTTCTGTGAGAAACAAGACAGTGGTTTAAATGGCCATGTGGTAACATGAAATAAACTATTGGTAAGATTATACTGTCATTTTTAAAACCCAGTAGCTGCACACACTAATTAAAAGGGAAGACTGTATAAAGATAAAAAGGCAAACCGGAAATGAAACAAAATTAAACCGTTAAATATTCTAAATCATCTGTGTGACAAAATAGATCTTTTTAGAAAATCCAATACTTTACCAGAGATGTCAGTATGCGAAAGCCCTATTGTGTTTCGAAGAATTATTCTTATTATTTTACCGTTTCGCACTTTTGAGACCTTTATCATATTCAAAAACTCTTGAAATTTCGCATGCACATCAGAAGTCTAGTATCCAGTAAAAAACGAAGGTGGCATTTTGAGATTCTTTAATTTCTAAAATCAGAATATCCTGGTTATATCCAAGCGACACCATTGGGATATGTACTCTATGCCTGAAGTGGAAATACTGTGTAACTATTGATAGTGTCCTTTTAAATCTAATCTGAAATTGACCAGAAGTAGTCTCATGATTGGATTTTGAAGGAAGTTGGATGTTAAAGATGAAGTTTGCAAAGCGGCATTCCTGGTGTACATCCTTATGGTTAACGACAACCGCCTCTCGCTTTGTCCGACGGCTGCAGGGGTTCTTTGCTGCGTTTCTAGTCGTCCGGCCGGTGCCCCGACATGCGTAGTAGCGAGGACCCGTCCAACGCTGCTCGCATCTTTAATTTGATTTATATTTCAAACTTATAATTTAGTATTTTGAGCTGAAAAGCACATAGACAGTTGGATAAATTCCCATTTCAATCAATACATGGTTTATCAAATGAAGAAAATGTAAATATTTTCTTAAATAAATGATAACAAGCTAGTTGCTGACATTAATGCATGTAAAGGAAATACTATACGAGTTATTTCTCCAGTTCTCACACAGTGACGTAAGGCTGCGTGACGTAACTACCACCTCAGCCAATGGCTGCTAACCTCATATGTTCAGCTAACTAACCGGATTTTACGCGGAAACAACGCTAAAGACACGGACCAACATTAACGCATCTTACTTTGTGAATCCGTGAGTGAAATCATTTTGGCGGCAGGAGGAGATGATTATGTATCAATAATCGAACTACACGAAGCTCGCAGAGGCTAAAGACTGCTGCTTCCAGTCGTTGTGGCTAACTGGTACAACAGTAGCAGCGATGAAGGCGAAGCTAGCGGTTTGTTACGCCACGTCGACGGGAGGGACGCGCACACGTATTCTAACAAAGATCGTCTATGCTGCAGTTGTTTGTCAGCGTGTGGTTCTTCTTCTTCTTCTTCTTCTTCTTATTTGGTGTTGTGCTTTACCGCCACCCTCTGGACTGCAGTGTGGAGCAGGAGTTTATGCAGAACCAAAATAGATCGATAAAATAAAATAAATTAATATTAAGGACAACTCTAGATTTGTTTAAATGAATCCGTTTCTCTCAAAAACTGAATAATTGAGAATATATTTATCTGTTCGATTCCCCAATAGACCTGACAGTGACCAGTCCTGATGTTTTGCCTTCCTTAGTGACTGAAAAAGACGGTTCCTCTGGACAATAACACTCCGCATTGTAACAGTAGGCTACATGTTGAACAGTTTCTGGTTGGTTACAATTTCCCAGTTGGGTGCTTGCCTATTCTATGTAATGTGTGGTTAAGACCTGTATGTCCAATTCTTATTCGAGCAATGACATTCCCTTCCCTTCTTTTCCATTCAACCTTTCTCCTTGCCCCAACATCTTTTTGTATCTTGTTCCAGTTTCCTGATCATCCCAGTACTATGATGAATTGTGTAACTGTGCCTCTCATTTCCATCCTATACATTATGAGGAATGTTTCATTAATGATATCAGTCCTTATAGATGATCTACCAGATCCTATGCTTTTAGGTGCTAAGAAACTGTCAGATGGAATAACCGGGTTGTGTTCCTCCTCCATGCTACAAAAGATCTGTCAAAGATAGCACACCTTTTAAATACATTTAAATTGGTGGTACTTTTTTATTTTAATCTATATTTTTAAAGCAATAACGTTTGTTTTCTTATGTATGAATGTAGGACATGTATTGCTGTAATCCAAAGGTAGTGTTGCAACCTTTTGCTTACTCTGAGTCAAAGATCTGATCACTTACATCACTGATAATGACGACAGATTCTCCATTCACTAGTATAAAACCAATAAAAATAATAACTGTTTAATGTTTCACATTATATTCCTAAAACTCCAACTTATTTATCGTCAGTGGGAGAAATATATGACACTAGTACGTACAACTCGTTTATTGTCATAAAAAATACAATAAAAACCTGTAACCCTCTCAAATCATAGACCAATTTAACCTGTTGGTTGAAATAAACTCCTGGTCCCCATGTCCACGTCAGATTTCATTTTTTTTCATTATTTAACCTATCAACAAATTGAGTATATTTTTTTAGCAACGTCATGTATCAGTGTGGGACGAGAGGTCTAGCCAATGGAAAGCAGCGGAGGAGACGTGTTGGCCAGTCGGTTTATGGTCGCCAGAGAATCAAGCAGAGTGAGAGCTCTTCAGGATATATAGGGAAGTTCTTGTCTGCGCATGTACGTTCGAACGTTCTTGTGCGTCACAACTGCGCGGTGATTGCGCCATTAATACATTATACACGCTTCCTTTCTGTCACTTTCCACATATTGTTGCAGCTAATATTGTCACGAAAACAATACATGTATTTATTTTTTAATGTTGACTTGGATACTGACAACACTAAGAACACTGCGTACCAATCACCCCGCCATCTGTCAGAAAAGAACTACAACTCCCAACAGCCCCGTGATAAGGAAGTGTTTCTGTCGGCTTCAGACGTTTTCAACTGAAACAGGAGTTAAGCCTGATTTATGCTTCTGCGTTTTCAGAGCGACGCAGACGCAAGCCCACCTTGCGTGTCCCTTGCGTCGCTTTTCACACCTCCTTGCGTGTGTCGAGCCATTTTTCTAGGCTTGCGTCAAAAGCGTCGCAAGCAACGCAAGCCTCCCGCAGCGCACCAGGCTGCGATTGGTCCGCTAACTACGTCCTTTACGGAGTCTCACATTTCCGCTTTCATAGCCCGATACCGCCATTATTAAAACGATGGATGTTTACGAGAGAACGGATCAGATTTAAGAACTTTTGTCGGAAGAAATGCGTAAATATGACCGCTTATACAAGCCGTCATTGGCGGGTTGTAGAAGCGGGTTGGATTCATGGAGGGAGATCTCCGCAAACGTCGGTTTGCCGGTCGAGAGGAACAAAGTTGTGGAGGAAAATACGGGACAAATGTGTCCGCGATGAAAAGCAGCAGTGGTGATGCACGGGGCAATAAAGTCTATGATAAATAAATAAATAGACGTGACTCTCTAGGTCGTCTTCAACAAAAATAAGTCACTCCGCCTGTTGTTCTGGCGGTGAATTGCTCTGCAACACACGCAAGACTTTTAGAACCATGAAGTGAAACGAGTCGACGCAATGACGCAGACGCAGAAGCATGCGCTGGCCTTTAGTGTCGAGGCAGAAGCTTTGCTCCAAGACAAAAGACGCCGCGTGTTTGCAACTATACGTCGATTAGCAGTCCGCATCATCAAGTAACACATTTCCCCGCGAGTCCTTTGCCCGGTGAACCGTCATGGGCCCCGGTGCTGCTGTGGCGCTGGTGTTTGTCGGCTGCTGCAGCAATGTGGTGTCTCTCGAGCTGCTTGTGAGGTCAGTGACAAACTGACTGCTCTCATGTGGACTTTACCCACTAATAGAAGTCATTATTAGGGATTTAATTGAGTGTGTACTGTAGCTGCCATTTGCCACTTGGGTCGAACTTGTGTAACTTTTGGTCAAGATCTTTGATCTATATTGAAAATATTTGTATTCATATTCTTAAATAATACTCTCTTCACTGGCTACCGGTGGCTGCCCGCATCCAGTTCAAAACATTGGTGCTCATGTACCATGCTGTGAATGGATCTGGTCCAGCTTACATCCAGGACATGGTCAAACCCGACATCCCAACCCGTACTCTCCGCTCTGCATCTGCTAAACTACTCGTCCCTCCCTCACTGAGAGCAAAACACTTGACTAGATCTCGACTCTTCGCTGTCCTTGCTCCGAAATGGTGGAACGAGCTCTCTGAAGACACCAGGACCGCAGAGAGCCTTCACATCTTCCGCCGCAAACTAAAGACACACCTCTTCAGACTCTACCTCGACTAAAGACTAACAAATTGTAGCACTTAAATTGTACTTGTAACGTCACTCATCTATAGCAAATTGGAAATTGGCTTATTTGAGGAAATTGCACTTTCTTGTTTCTTGTTCTCCTGAGTTTGTACCCTATGGTTGAATGCACTTATTGTACGTCGCTTTGGATAAAAGCGTCCGCTAAATGACATGTAATGTAATGTAATGTATATATTTACACATATAGGACCGTATAGAAAAGTAAACTTACATCACTGGGATAAAATAAGGGGAAAGTAGTGCAAAGCAAAAATAAAGACTTTTTTTTTTGTGATCGTCTTTAACTTCTAGGATACAAATAAACAACTGATATGTAGCTTCGATGTAAAAGATGCACCTTGGGCAGGCGTTAAAGTGAAAAACTGTCTGTATGTGTTTTTGTTGAGCCAGTAATCGACTCAAATCATCATACTGTATATTTGTTTATTTGCCTATGTGAGCACACTTATGTCCTCTTTCCTCTTGAGCTTCTAATCTTCCCGGGTGTTACATCAATACAATACATCAACACAATAAATCAATACAATCGTAAAGGCGAGGGCCCTAAAACAAAGTAGCGACTACGCTCTCAACTTCAACATCGCCATGCCGTTTCACATGATCTTCAGATCAGTAAGAACCGTTTTCACCTTCAGTTTAGGGTTTTCCCATCACCTCGGTCTGATCGCTGCCTTCTTTTCCATGCAGGGATCGCTAATCGCAAACATGATCCTGGGATTAATCATCCTGAAGAAAAGGTACGCCTGCTTCCTCTGACAACAGCGCTTCTTCAGCGAGGAAGTCAAGTCTGCAGGTTGAAAGCATTACGGTTGATTCTGTCTCGCTTTGTTCTTCGCCTGCAGGTATTCAGCAAGTAAATATCTGTCGATAGCTTTAGTTTCAGCAGGTATCTTCAACTGCACCATCATGTCTGCCAAACAAGTGGTGAGTCCTCTACAGCAGTGGTCCCCAACCACCGGTCCGCGGGCCGTTTGGTACCGGGGCGCAGTACAGAAAGCTTATATATTTTTTTTTTCTGAAAAATGTTTTATTTTGAAAATTGACCGGATTTTCTCCTAATTCTCCTAATTTTCCACAGTCCAGAGTGCCGTCTTGTAAACAACTAGCTGAGTAAATGAGAGAGAGGTTGCTACGCTGAAGAGAACACAGCTTTTGCTGTTCCTCAGCCTTCCTCAGCCTCATCTTCTCCATCATGTACTTCCAGAACCCGTTCACCGGGTGGCACTGGGTGGGCACGGGGGTGGTGTTCTTGGGCACCCTGCTGTACACGGAGGTGTGGGGCAGCGTGCGGGCGGCTCTCCGTGGACCCCATGTCAAGGAGAAGAAGGCGGATTAAAGCGAAAGAAGAAGAAAGGACTGAGTCAGACGCCGCGTTGGACTTTGAGATTGTTATTGGTCGACAATCCAGCAGTGATTTTATACAATAATGTAATTTTGTTTCTGCCGTTGTAAACCTGCCCCTTTCTCTCTCTCTCTCTCTCTCACACTCACACTCACACACACACACACACACCGGTTTACAAAATAAGGCTGGTGACCTTTTTTCTATTTTCTTTGTATTACTTTGTATTTAAGACAACAGACCCGCTGGTCAACACAGTGAAACATTTAGCAGCTAAAGATACAAATAATGGTTTATTGAGACCTAAAACTGAGCAAATATTTATTCTACATGTTATGCAGTGAGTTATGCAACTCATAATTACTTTATAATCATTCAAAATACCCTCAAAAGGGTTTTGAAAGTGTCTCTGTCCGCTCGTGAGAGCTTTGATGAAGCAGCGAACAAATATTCACAACGTTCGGTGCAGAAGCAAAGTCTCCATCCTCGGATAAACAGCTAGCGCCTTTAATGTTGTTGTTTGCGCTGTTAGCGGCGTTGGCTTCTAGCCACCATGTTGAGAACTGTGTGGAGGCGATCCTCTGGATTTTGGGCATTGAACTTTAGTTTCTGATCGTACACGAACAGAAGGAGAATAATCTTCGAAAATAATTAGTTGCACCCTTAATGTAATGTGTCACCATCCCTATTCTATTCCTAACTTTAGTACCTCATTAGCATTCACACATGGAAATACATCCTCTTACGATATAAATGTCTAAGGAGCTGATTCAGGAAAATTTAAAGAATATACTGAGGGGATAATATATGGAGATGTCACTGCTGTATTTCTTTTTACTCATTTGTCAAACTGACTGATGTATCAGGGCATCATTTAAGCAATGAAAAAGTCACATTGTACAGGCCAATACTTCTTTACACTCCCTGCCCACTGAAATTAAAACGACAACTTGACTACATATATAGATTGTACAGTCTCTGTAGCTGTATAGTCAAATAATTAAATACTTAATACCTACAAAAAGTGCCATTTAAGTACTGTGTATGGTATATATATATTTTTAGCTCCTCCTTTTGAGCTAGAATATTGTACTTATACTCCACTTTATTCATGTATATGATGTATCTTCATAGATTAAGCAGTAAATAAATAGTCTTCAATATCACAAACAAATGCCCCAGTAATTCACACCCTATCTTAAAAATGTACATATATTCCCACTCGGCTGTGTTGCTACTTTTACTTCACAGTAGTCGTCCCACCAACGCTAAAAAGTTCATTGGATTTGTTGAAATCAATGAATTAGTTTTGGAAACACTGAACACAATGTTCACGTTTCATTGGCTTTAAAGGGATTCCACCAATCCGGAGAGGCCCTGTTCAGCTGCAGGCAATAGCAGCGGCCGTTGTTGACACTCATCGGTGGGCGGGGCACGTCTTTGCAGCTGCTCACGTAGTTGAATTCCCTGACAGCAGGGACGCGTTGGGGATTAAACATCTTCAGTAAGCACGCGGCCGTTACGACGCGTGGATGGGGGAAAACAGCTCGCGTCACCTGTCTCGCGAGGACGGGGGAGGCGGGGGCGTCACTTTTGTGAAGGGCATTCGGGTGAGTGAAAGCTCGAGGAGGATGCATGCGTGAAGTGGGAGAAAGTCAAATGATCCCAGCAGACGGTCGCTGCACGGCGCGATGGTGCTTTTTTCATCTGCAATTGTGTGTGATTTTTTTGAATACGTTTTTAATTCTGCGATATTTGTTGATCGATACGTATGGATCTCGCCCCCATGTGTGTTGTGACAACACAAAAGTCAGAGTCCCTCCTTAAGTGTTAAATAGGGGAAGCACATAGTCATTCACCTGGACGACACAAAGATGAAATTGAACATCTGCTGAAAGGATCAATTATATCATGAATATGAACGTGTAACAGGTGTTTGACTCCACTTGCCATCGCTAAGAGTCATGACAGGGTGTCACGTGGGTGCCCTCTAGTGGGTCCCTGCGGACGTGGGTGCGACACCCTGTAGCTAAAAAGTTAGTCTGCTGCAGGGTGTGTAACTGTTATGATGCCACGAGGTTCCTTCTGAGAACTTAACTTCTGTGTGTTCGCCAGGTATGTCATGTTGTAGCTAAAAAGTTAGTCTGCTGCAGGGTGTGTAACTGTTATGATGCCACGAGGTTCCTTCTGAGAACTTAACTTCTGTGTGTTCGCCAGGTGTCTTAACGTCACACAATAAACGGCCGATACGAGCCGAATGTGGTCCGTGTCCTGGTGGTGATTTTAACAACACAACGCAAGCAAGAGTACAACCGCTACAAACGCATCAGCCAAAACACGAGTTGTCCTTCACCAACTGCTTTTCTTATAAATAACATTAACATGAGGTAGTTCATATAGTACCATGTTCATTATTGTATCAAGCGGTCTGTTAGGGAATACTTCTTATTGTGCTATTATCATTACGCATTATACTGTTTCATTGTCCGGTTTTAATTGCGTTAAAACAGGAAACGGTACACTCAACCTGTATTTTCTCCACCAAACTGAAAAGCAACTCAATATATGGGAGGAAAGTCCAAGACACATTTGTAGACACTCATACGTTATCTTACGCACACACACAATCGCCTGTGTAAGCTGTTTTAAACCTCAAGTTGACATACCCAGTTTGGTGCACAATGCCTTTTGCTACTACTGTTGTACCCAATGAGATATCAACAAGTTTTTAATAACTTCTGGTGGCAGTGAGCCAGTAATGATTCCCTGAAAGTTTCGTGAAAATCGGAGCTAGCGTCTAGGAGAAGTTCGCAAAAACGTGTTTTTCAAAAAATTCAAAATGGCGGAAAATCTAGTTGGGTGTATTTGCGTACCATGATTGACTTTTTTGTAAAGCATTTCCAAGAGAACCTGTGTGCAACATTTCAGGTCAATCGGTCATTGGGGGGAAAAAGTAAGCTAATAGGCCAAAATTACACATGTGAAGGGGGCGCTAGAGAGCCATTTTTTTATACCCAAATTTGCGACCCCAAGAATATCGAAACTCTTCGCACATCCGATGCCCACGCCAAAATTCAAGAGTTTTTGAATATGTTAAAGGCCTCAAAAGGGCGATTTAGCGTGAGAAATAATAATAGTAATTAAAGCTGCAAGCAGCGATAAACGGGCCTTTGCCTCACAGCTGGATCATAGCTGTAGCCTCCCAATGACTCCACCTGGATCAAAGCAGTTGCTGGGGCTGCTTTATGATTACATTACATGTCATTTAGCTGACGCTTTTATCAGCTCATCAAAAAGCTCATTCCATCATTTAGGAGCCCGGACAGCAAAGGGTCGTGATCTTGTTGAGTGTTTTGCTCTCAGTGGGGGAGGAACAAGCCATTTGGAAGATGCAGAGCAGAGTTTGCAGGTTAGGATGTAGGGTTTGACCATTTCCTGGATGTAGACTTGAATCAATCCTTTCACTGTATGTTACGTGAGATCCAATGTTTTGAAGCGGATGCGGGCACCCACTAGTAGCCAGTGAAGAGAGCGGAGTAGTGTGGGGGAATTTAGGCAGGTTAAAGACCAGTCGAGCTGCTGCATTCTGGATGAGGTGCAGAGTTCGTAGAGCTGTAGGAGGGAGACCTGCCAGGAGAGAGTTTATGAATACGTGTAGGGGGCACTATCAAGCCAAAATGCATTTTGGAAGCATTGAAATCATATGAAGTAACTACATCTTCAACTGTAAATGTGTTTTCCAAGTTTAGTAAAGATTGGAGCATATTTAGTCCCTCAAAAGGACTTCTGCTTTGACCTTGAATATCAGGTTACCACAGCAACAGCGTAACACGAAAAGGTTTTAATAACTTTTAATCACCAAGGCCTTAAGACTGTTTTGTCACAATTTGAAGTGGCTGTGACAAAGTCGCAGAGAGGAGGTCTTCAAAAGTATAGCTTCTATTATATGCGAAAAATAGAGAGAATATTCAAACAAAAGAATTATAACTGCCTTCCTGTTCATTTTAGAGCATGGTCCCAAGAGACTTTTTTTTTTACGTCTCCCTATTATACATATGTCCAAAAATTGTCTTTCATGTAGTTCAAACAGGGCGCTGGGGCTGCTTCATTGAAAACTGCCAGGGGACTCTATGGAGGCGATTGAGCATTTTTGAGTCAAAACTCCACATCAGCTCTTTAATGTCATCACATAGGACACTGACAGAAGTTTTCAAGACTTCTGTCAGTGTCAGTTTGCTAAGGCACTGAAGTATCTGCTTGAACTTTCATGTGAAGACAGTGTCGTCATGGCAACACGTTTTTTCAAAAACTCCCAATATTCACTGTGAACTATCATCAAAGCTTCAAGGCTTATATACTAGGATTTGAGGTTGATCGGATTAAATGGTTAGGAGATACACATTAAAGTGACCATTCATGAGCCAATTTCCTTCAAATTCTCCATCACAAGACTACCTTTGGTCCATTTCAGGTCAGAATTAAAAGGACACTTTCAATAGTTACATGGTCATTTCACCTCATACTAATGGTATACATCCCCAAGGTGTCACCAAGGAATAAGCAGGACATTCTGATGTACTATTTCAAAAATAAAGCCTCTCAAAATACCATACATGAGCCAATTGTCTTTCAAATTCTCAATCACGAGACTACTTTTGGTCCATTTCTGGTCAGATTTAAAACCCTCCGTTGAGTGAGCTCGTCCTTACATACCGATTAGGTCCCTAATGCCCTTGGGGGATGACTGGCCATTTCCCCTAAACGCTATGTCCGATTGTCACAACATTTTCTGTCGATCATTATTGGATCAATTCACCCCTGCCCTATCAGTATCGTGTTGATATATTCTTGTTTTGAGAAGATATGGGCTAATGAACTTTGTAAGGGGTGTGGCTTAATCTTGCAAGAGTCATAACTTCCAAATAATTTGGCCTGCCCTCACCAAACTTGTAACACATGTGAACATGTTTCGACAACATTTGAAGAATAGGGGACGCTGGAATTAATCCGTGGAAATCTGCCTTTTTGGCCTATTTTTGGCCTATTTTCGTGATTTCCTAGAGTTGTAAAAGACCGAACTCCTCCCAGGGATTAAACACGATTCTTTTCAAATTTGCGCAGTGTCATCTTGAGGACCTACGCTCCTAGAATTGCATCGGAAAAAATACAACTTTAAAATTCCAAACTATATGTGTAGGGAGCACTTTTGAAAAAAACCCATTCAGCTTGAAAATTGAAGTCATTTTAACTCGACCATACTTTATCTAATCTTCTCCATTTTTCTCGTATAGCATGAACCTTCCACCCTGTAGACATCCATATGATCATTTTTAACCTTAGTCATAGCGCCACCTGGGGAAAACAGGAAGTTGAATATTTTTTTTAGTTTACACCCTGCTCCTAACAGGTTTTGCTCCTCAAAGGTCAATATGATCCCTCTCAAAATTTCCTAGCAGAGAGGTAAGACCTTAATAATGCTTTAGTGTGAAAGTGATAAGAATCCGAAAATCGGTGGCGAGAAGGTGCATCGGCAAAGCTGATCCGCGCAACAACTAAAGCGTTGTAACTCTACTGGACATCATCGGATTCTTTCTAATTTACACATGTTTGATGAGACTCTGGGCCTGAAGAGATAACAGCACCACCTTCTGGTAACCAGAAGTCACAGTTTCTAGTATCCAGTAAAAAACCAAGGTGGTATTTAGAGAGGCTTTTATTTTGAAATAGTACATCATAATGTCCTGGTTATTGCTGGGTAACACCTTGGGGATGTGTACTATCCGTCTGAAGTGAAATGATCATGTAACTATTGATAGTTTCCTTTTCCAATGTAATTCGAAACTGACCAGATGTATTCTTGTGATTGACATTTTGGCTCATGTATGGTATTTTGAGAGGCTTTAATTTTGAAATAGTACATCAGAATGTCCTGCTTATCCCTCGGTGACACCTTGGGGAT